TTAATTGAGTTGATTGAATGCATGCCATTTGCGCATTTCAAACATTATAAACGCTGAGAACCACTGATTAGATTTTCGAATCAAACATACATCGTCCGAATGCTAATTTTTGTTACACGCGCAAGCCTTGATCGTGCTTAATGCATTATTTAAAATATCTGGGAGAAAAAACACTATGTAGCATTATTGAAACGCCGTTCGCCATTTGAATCACTGTTTTGATTTGACTGAATGTTCATTCTTTGCCCTTTAAATTACCACTCCAAATATAAATCTGATTCTATTATTCATGTAAATTGTGAAAATTCTGATTTTTTTCTTCTTTTTCTCGGCAATCATTTTATTTGCTTTTATTTATTGATTTTTTTTTCTGGGGAAAGTAATGCTTGAAGTAATCTCACAACAATAAATGAAAACAGCGTTTTATTTAGAGAGAAAAAAACGATCATGACGAGGTCAACTGCAGACTAAATGCCATTGGCAGTGCCTGAAAAACACTCCACTCACACAAACCGTCTGTAACTTAATTAGCGTTGTCAAACTCAATTAAACACCATTTTTTTTGTTTAATACTTTTCTCACACTTAACGTCAAATAAACGAATGAGAATTGTTCATTTTTTTCGAGCTGCAGCAATTATGATAAAGTTTAGCATAGTAATTTTTGTGTGTTATTTACTGTAGAGCAGAAACAAATAAAAGAAACCAAACATGAAAATGTAAAAACAAACAAATATCCGGTCTCTCATCGGTTGTATACCGCTGAAGTTAACATAACTAAATAATTCAATGTAAGACGAGAAAAAAAAGCGGCGAAACGAGAAAGTCAATGTGGAAAATGACGCAGAACTAATAATAAGTTAAAAGAATCTTTTATTTCAGCATATGGTTTTCAAGTGTGTTAGAAGTTTAGTTTATATCAATGAAACAAGCAAAGTTCCGAATGAAAAAGGTTAAAGTCATATCCGTTATGGCAGTATTTTCCCTATGAACAAACGCATGTGGATTGTTTAAATTGCCAGAAAATCATGATATAATTATAGTGGCGCAAAGCAAGAGCCAATTAAGCACATGAGAACTCTTACATTAGCAGCCAACTAGAGAGCAAAGAAAATACTGGTGCATATTATTTCCGAACTGTTCCAGCAATTTATATCGTTCCCATTTTGAAAAATGAATAAATTAATTCATTCATTAAATACAAACAACACTGTTATATGAAATGTTACAGGTACGACGGTGTATACATTGCCACATTAGCCATTTTCATGAATGGTCAATTTTAAGAGTCATTCGTATTCAAGACTTTTGGAGAATAGCAAGGTGTTAACTGAAATGAATATACAAAAGAAAATATGAAATAAATCGTACCGTAATTATATCTCAACTAACATTAGTTTTATTAAAAGGTCATATGATTGTTTCAAAATGTCGAGCTTCATTTTTAACTTTAAATTATCTAAAATGAGATTTATTTACTATTAACACAGTAAATCCTATCCAAGATTATAGCTCAAACTGTACTATAGTCAGCAATTAGTTACTGAAGAAACACTGTGTGTACAATTAAAAGCATTTTGTATTTCGACTGGATTACGATTGGGAATTATTGCGACAAAGATGACTATATAAAACGATTTTGTATTTTATGTGCGGAAATGAGTCATTATATTTTGGCCCGTGCAAAGTAATTGTTTTATAGAATGGTAACCTTGTAACTTATGATTAATAATATTTTGTTGAATGTTCTAAGCTCGGAGAACGTCAAATATAAAGATGGTAATGGTATTTGTCTAGAGTCTAGACCGCATTGAATGTGTGCTGAGGCACTATACACAAGAACTTTGAGTTGTCTATATTCTTTTCTTGTTCAGTTCCTGCCTTTATACAGTGTCATATGGATTTTCTGTCTCTTTATTTATAAGAATATTTCCACTTTATATTTCCAAAAAGAGACGAGAATTGGCAAATTCCACTCCATTCAATGATGTTATTTCTACAAATAATTTCTTGAATGATGTTGACAAACGTAATTCTCCAGTAGATGACATAAATGCTATCCACATTATGTGGGAAATAATGTTTAACAGAATTTATATGATTATTGACCATTTTTATTTCAAAATGGCTTATGCATAGCGTTAAATGTATATATTATACAACTTTCTGCAGAATGACAGAGAATGACGTGAAGTTCAGAGAATGACGTTTGAATATAAATACATGTGAAAGACACTTTTAGGCTCGTCCTATGTTTAAAATATTTGGTAAAATCATAATGTATCATTTAAATACTTCAAAAGCGTGTTAAAGTTGTTATTTATTTATTAATTGTAGTGATTTTGGAATTCGAACATTTGATGCTAATGTTTTTGAAAACCCTTAAAAGTGCGTTATGATTGCAATAAATATGACTTTAACTCATGTTGATTATGAAATTGTACATATTATGTTATATATCTAATGGAATCGATTTACTCGGAAATCATACAACAAGCAAATGTACTTATAATATTATCGAGTAAAATGCCGAATATTTGTTAAATTCATTCGATTATGTGAAATGGTTTGGAATGCATTGCAGTTTCATATTTTACATTCAGTTGAATGATCGGGATTTTTCAAGCCAATTATTATGAATGCATTTATAATTGTTTGAGAAACGTCCATAACGGAGAATTTTAAAGCCGATGAATTCGATTGAGAAAATTAGTGATTGACTGCATGGTGTAATCAAATTATTCATTTCAGGGAAATTTGAAAATATGATTATTTATTGAACATTTATGGAATATAGGATAATATTTGAAAAATACCATTATAAAAATTAAACAATAGCCGTAATTAAAGCGTCTAATAGCAAAAAATATGTTTGATAATGACCGCTTTTGTTCAGTTGAATATTTAAATGTTTAACAGCAAAACTGACGAGGTATTCATTAAATTGTTTGTTTTTCATTTTCTAAAATGAAATTCAACGGTAGCTCTCTTTTATAATCAAATATTTTGGAATTAAACTCAAAATAATAATAATTCATAGTAATGATGCCAATATATACTAGTATTGCATAAAATCTATGAGTTCATAGATTAAATTTTATTGCTGTGTTGGCTAAATTAATCGTTAACACAACGATGTAACACACATTTATTGTTACGATTTGTGAACTGTGAATACAGAAATGCACATTAATTTATCTGCTCAAAATGTGTTTGTCTTTGAAGTTCATCTGTATGCACTTTGAATCTAAAGCTGTCATCTGAAACAATTTTAACAATTTGTATTGCATTGTACACATTTTGGTTGAATCAACCTCAATCCAATCTCATGTCTCATACCATTTTTGCGTCTTCGTCTGTTATGTTGCATCATCAGGCCTCATATATAAACACAATCCTAGAAATGTGTATAGTATTTGCTCGTGTGTGTGTGTGTGCGTTTGGTTCCAAGAGTCCATTGAAATTAATACAATTGGGTACTCTATATCGTAATCATGTTCAAAATGGTATCATAGCAAACACACCGAGTGTTGAACTTAAATTAAAAGCAAACATCCACATGAGTGCAGCATCGAGTGTATTTAGTTAAATTTGAGTATGGCTTCTCACACGCTAGCCAAAAATTGTGTCAAATTCGAAAAAGGTTGAACCAAAATAAAATCAACTTGACATTTTCGATAACGTTTTTAACGCTCAAGCATTCAGTTCGACGAGAGAAGTATTTAAAAAAGCCATCGACTTTCAATCTAGTATTGGATGCAATGTTATTTGTAGCTTAAGCAAATATTCCACTTCAAAATCGAATCAATTTCGATATTTCATATCAAGTGACTCGAAGTTTCTAAATTTCACATTGTCTGTCATTCAAATATCTCATGAATCACAATAACCATTCCATTGTCCATTTTGAAAACCACATTTAACGATAGATTCTCCAAAAGTCAAATCAACGAACTAAATCTATTGGTCGGTGCACGGGTAAGAAGGGCTTGGATTCAACCATGCTCGGCGAATTGTGAAATCTGGATTACAACAGAAGTCAATGAATAGACAAAAAAAACCATAAAAATCACATGGAAAATTTTCGATTCGATAAGAAATAAAAAAAATTCTTCATGGGCCATCGTAAATCAGCATTTTTTTTCAGCTAAAAAGAAAATCGCTCGTAATGTGTGTGAGAGAATAGTAAAACGTAAAAAACATAAAACGCATGTTAAAAGCATTGCAAATGAATATAAATATGATCATAAATTGTTCGAACAATAAGTTATTTTGTGTTGTCGAAATCCTTTTCGTTTGATTTTTATTGATCTTTTGAGGCTATTCATGTATATTTGTGGATGGAAATCAATGAATTCGAACAACGAATATATTTATCGCAATGAGTGAGAAAAAGGCCTCGATTATAACATGAATGCGTCCATACTCACACCCAAACGATTTTCAGAAATCGATGTTTTGTTGAGAATTCAAAAAGAACGCGAGATATAAATAAAAGATACACCGAATTTCCTGAAAATATCATCCATTTAGCCGATGAATTTTTGACTTGGTTAGTTATTTATGTATACACGTTCAGCGGGCATGGATTTTTTTCCATATACCTATTTGCCCACACAATTTTGGATTATAAGCATCGTATTTAAAATTAAAAAGAAATAAAAAGTCTTACCCTATAAGACGAACTTTTCCGTCTAGTTGTTTATTTCATTTAGTTAGACCATGATGGGCCATTGGTGTCCAACTTATTTTATCGTTAACCTCCCTTGTCATTTCGATCAGAAAATCTGTTCTCATCTAGGAACATCAACCAAAAATACAAATTATTAACAAAAAAACACGAGGCGAAAAAAGTAGAAACAGATAAAAGTCTGTTCAATGCTGACGCAAAGAACATTTGTTTGGTGTCATTGAATGATGTATAATGGTCAACAAATATTCGACGACGTATCAAAATGTGTGCAAAAATATTTTTAATCAACTCGAATAAATACACATTTTATTGCTGTGAAATAATTCTATCAGTTCAGTTTAAGCCGATTCAGTTTAGAATAAATTTTTGGCTTTTTTATCTTCACAAATTCATTCATATAATACTTTTAATTCCACGTTTCGGAAGAGTGATGGATACCATAAACAAAAGGGCAAACATGTTGACGATATTTGTCCTAACATTTATCATGCCAACTAATTTGATTGATGCTGCAAGTGACTATAGTAACGGAGGTTCAACTAATTTGGCTATAATCACATGGGCCCATGCAGTTAATAGCCAGGCTCTCTTGGAGCAAGTTCTTGCAAATGGTGAGATTATTTTTCATTTTTTGATTTCGAATACGTCAATTGAATGTGGTTTCATCAGTTATATGCGATAGCTGTTCGTTTCTTTTAACTTAAACTTAAATTATACATTATACATAAAGCTAAAGTTCAAATGATTGAAGCTGATGTGAGCCCTGGAATACTTAAAAAATCATGTGCACAGGAAACAGAAAATCCAACATTAGATACGAGTATAATCAAAACAATTTGGTTTCAAATTCAAAGCGCATTAAATGTTCAATACAGAGACGTTGGTATAGATTTGCATAATATTTGCATAAATAAAAAAATAAAAAATTAACTTGTTGTATCTAACTTATCAATCTTTATTCCAACGTACGTAATAATCAAGTTATGGCTCATCCACCGGACACATCGTCTGATCTCTCATTGGAAGACTTTCTGAGTAAGGTTTACGATCACAATAGTAAATCCAATAAAAAGAAGGGTATTAAGCTTGATATCAAAGATATCGATCCACTGAAAAGGGCATTGTCACTGATAAAACAAAAAAATGTACGTATCACAATTGAATAATGTTTTGAAGAATTATTAGCAACCAACATTTTACTTTCTCATTGTCATCACAGTTTGCAGATGCGAATACTTTTATAAATGCGGATGTTATTTGTGGTCCAGGTATGAACGAATTTCTACCGGACAAGCCAATCGATGCCAAGGAATTTCTCGATGCCTTTGAAGATTTTGATGGCTTGTCCAATGTAACACTTTCAATTGGATGGAAAACTGGATCGAGTCAAATGCAGACTGCCGTCTATACTCAATATCATGTTGATCAAATGATCAAAGCTATTAATGATAATAATGTTGATAAGAGTCATCCAATATCATTTCCAGTGCGTGCCATTTATGCTGTCAGAAGTATACCAACCTTGAAATATTTGTTTGATTCAGTTAGCAAAGTCTATAAGGTAACATTCACCATTTGGACTGGTAGCAATGATACATTTTCAATTCTAGAATTGCAAAAATTGATCAATTTCTTTGGCCTTCCTTACGTATACGTTGATATACCAGATGAAATGAAAAGTAAATTGAATTTAAAGTCTGGTTGACTCTGCCTTAACCAATCGAATTAATGGAACATTCTATCAAAACAAATGTTAAATTCAAATACAGACGTTGACGTAATTCAAATGTCTTGATATTGATGTGTTTATTACGTAAAAGTCAAATAAAAAAAAACGTTTAATAAAAAATAAAGATAAAATCGTTTTGTTTATTTATTTTTACATAAATGATTTAAATATATTATTATTATTTATTGACCCTAATTTTGGATCGAGGAATCCATAAAATTAACAAATTTTGACATCCCCATACAAAATTTAAAAAAAAATTCATGCACGGTAAGACCACGACGGAGTGAATTTGGTCCAAAGTCTAATTGTATCTATTCCTCAAGAATATTGACCAACCATCCTATAAAATAAGATTTAAAAACACTATCACTAGAAAAGAGATAATAGGTGAACAAAAACGGTCACGTACAACGTGCATCCCAGAACAACCTGGTTACAAATCGATTAATTTTTCATCCCCAATCTAGGAAAGGTCATCTCCAACCATTTTGAGAATTTATAAATTTAGGCTTCATTACAATACTTTTCCTTTCACAATACGTGGGCGGAAAAGTAAAAAAAGGTCTATTTTTGCATAATACAAAATCAAAATGATTCGTTTTTTTCTCAAGCCACTGATTTTTTTGTCTTCTTCTTTTCAATGTGCTATTTTGTTAGATAGAAAGCATCAAAGCGAACACAAGAAGACCTGTGAGCGAAAATAACAAGCGTAATAGATTCAGTGCGCAAGAACCAGAAAGAAAAGCCAGTAGCAAAACGAGAAACAGTTACTATGATTTAAAAAAAAAAAAATGTTGGATCTGTTCTTTTGGACAGTGTAAGCAGCAACATTTGATGAAGTACACCAAAAACATGGACAAGAAATTACATTCCAAAGCAGAATATAAAGTGAAAAAATTGAGTCATAAACAAGACGCAATATTGTGAGCCTATTTATGTCGATGTTGATACAATATATGCTTTCGTGACTATGCATTGCCATATCGTCTCGGATGATTTGATACGGAATTTTTTTTGTATCCATATTTTCTATGTTCATGTCTATGTTCAGGCTCAATGACCAAGCATATAAATTTTTGAAAACATTGAATTGCATATTTCCATTTGCTCATCGCAAAGTCGCTATATCCATTCCTGGTTAGTGATATTAAAGTTGGTCTGAGCTCAATTGCTTAGCTGAAGGACACACATGAGTCTCTCGCTCATTTTTTTTTGCAAAACTATTTCTATTCGTAATTCACATTGAAGAAATCTCCCAAAAAAGATGGAAAAAATCACCAAAGCGAAACCGTTACACATGATTGACGAAAACGATGCTGAAACAAATGGTGTGTGCGAGTGTAGCAAAAAAGATAGCGCTACGAACGGGTTGAAAGATGAATGGCCATCCATAATATTTAGATCAAACCCATGACATAAACATGAAGACTGTGTGTGTGTTTTTATGTGGGAAAAAAGAAATCTCTTTTACATCAACTACGAGCGCTTTTTTCGTATCTTTTTTCTACATCATAAACGTGCCTTTTTTCACACAGGTTTCACCAAGTTCTTTTTTTTCCTCTTCAAAATTAGTATTGAATTTAGAAAAAACTAGATGAAAATTAGTGTTTTTTTTCTCTTTTTTTTGATGTAAAACGATATTTTTGATGTGATAACCGAATAAATTTCAAAGAACGTTCGAATTGAATTAGCGTTTGTAGCATTTGGTGTTTCTTTTTTCGATCCGATTTGAAATTATGGTCGGCCCGCTCTTAACAGTAGGTACATGATCTGCCATCATTTGGTTTTTTCTCTGAATTTTTATTTGGATTGGCTTACGAGTTTGTAAAATGTTTGGCACATTCTTTACTTTCAACGCTTTTATTTCCGAAGATTGTTTGGACCGTTTCTTTGGAACCTTTTTTATTCGTCCATTCCTTAAAAAAAAAACACGATTTTATCAACGATGCAATGGACAAAGGCGGCAAACCAATGATGATTTATTGCTTTGTATCGATTTGTCTGGCCTGTGTAAAAACCGGACTTTTAGTATTCAACATACAAAGACCGACGCGAAACAAATAAGCGCAACAAATTTTACAATTTTCTTTTAATCCTTTGTACAAGAGTTCATGTCAAATAATGGCGACTAAATCATGTTTCGAGATTCAACATTGTTGTTGTTGATGACGATGATGATATTAAGAGGAAATAAGGGAAAATGTAATTCGAAAAGTTGGTAAGTGTGTTGTTTTTTTTCTCTCTCTTTTTTCTGCTTCACTCTTTCGCATTCTGCTTGGAATTTTTTTGAGTAAACTTTTCTATAGTCATTTGACCATTCTTCATTTTCGTGTTCATAATGAATGGAATTTCTTTATTGTTTTTGCTATCAAAGACAGAAGCCTTTTTCTTTATATTAAACGATGACAGGGGTTGTCTGAAGGACATACAAACTTAATATGATTTCTTTAAAAAAAAAATAACGAACACACAAGAGAAAAAACCCGAAATGTATTTTCTGTCTTGTAGCGATTTAATTGCAAAAATGAATTACAAGCTGTGTGCTTTTAAAAACCACCAAAATAATCCCAAATATATTGAGAGCAAATGGGACATTTGTATCGAAGAAACGCACGCACCAAAGCTTAAGTTGTAATCAAAAGAAAATTAGTATTTATGCATAAAACATCTGCAGCCAAGTTTTTTTCCTTCTTCGTTCTCGGTTTCTATGAATTTATCATTTTCTTTTGCTTTTCTCTGATATTTGCAAACGAATCGAGTCCGAATCAAACATTAGTTCCAGATAGATATTTATTACTGCTAAAAAAATAATGCCTTTTCAACGCATCGGACGTATTCTGCGTATTATGGTGTTAGTGTGTGAAATGATTTAAAATTGTCTATATGTGGAACTCATGATCAATCGAAGTGTCTATGGAAAGAATCTTTCTCAATGATTATCTATTGATTTCGTTTTATTGCGCTGTGTTTATGACTGTAATTTAGTTTCGAAAAAGAGAATAATCGAGAAAATAGTTCTGAAATGAATTTACTCTGGTGCATATGACTTGTTTCCTATTCTAAACATTACAACTGAAATGTGATCGCAGTAACAAACGTAGTCGGACTGTATCCATATGTTCTGATTCTATTCTAAACTCGAAACCTCACATTGATGGATGTTATGGTTCACAAAATGAATATGGTATCTTTTAGTCTGTTTTCTCCTACGTGTAATAGCTGCAGTTGTTTTCTTTTCGATTAAAAATATTTCAAGCGCAATTGGGTTGGAATTAAAAATGCATCATTTACACCTTAAAAAAACTCAACGCTTACTTCAACACGTGGAGAAATTGAAATCAGTATGTTGCTGCTTAAATTTCTACCATCGAGTCATTGTTATTATGAATACAATTTTTTAGCTAAATCCTGGAAGTATCAGACATATTATTATTTGAACTTTTTCTTGCAACCATTTATGCTGATGTTTTCTGTATCACTTGCCGCTTTTTTATTTATATAGTACGTGAGTGCTTCGAATATTTAAATGTTTTTTGTTCAGGTTTCGTGGACACATAAATTGATTTATTTCTTTTGTTGTAGGGTGATTACTCTGGTGGTCTGGTCCTTGCATTTATCACCTACACTCAATTATATATTTTATGTGATATTGGAAATGAAGTTGAGTCATCGGTAAGACATTTGATAAAAGTCAATTTCAAATTGATCGAGTTTTAAAATAGTTAACAATTTTATCTAGAATAAAATGTTGATTGAAAAACTTCAATAAATTCCATGGTATTTAATGTCACCACAGAAACAAAGTCTCAGTCGCTTGCAGAATGGTGCCAGGCTTCAAATGGGACCGTTTGGGGTGCTTAATTATGCAACCTTTTGTGACGTAAGTTATCTTTCCACGTTCTATTCTACTTCCACTTTCTTAAATGTAGTATGTATTATTTATATTTAAACTATATTTTCAGTTGACCAACCGAATTTACAGTTTTTTGATGATGTTGACTAGATTTGTCAAGTGAACAACAGTTGGTTTTGAACTAGCAATATGAAAATTGAATAAAATTTTCTAGATTTTTCGCACTTGTCTCTGTTTAAAAAATACTAGAGACTTTTTATATGTATTTTATCCACTTGCGTTGAACTATCATTATGAACTTATAACAACAATAGACTAACATAAGTACAATTTACTAACTGAAATGTTTTTCGATATGCACAACAAATTTTCTCAATAAACGATTATTAATTCTGGAAAATGAGCTAGAGAATTTTTAATTATAACCCAATTACACGCTACTACAATAAAGTAAATGATTTTATTTTGTGAGTGGTAACATCCCGAGTACACCGGCGGCGCTCTTTACAGAGCGTGTGCGCTCTTATTGACGCTCTTCTGAATATCTTTTTATTCATCTTCTTTACAATATAAGCAGCAACGAAGAAGAGCTGTATCATACACAGCAACGAACACAGTACATACGAAATATATACAAGAACTAATGCAATGGTTACTAGATTTGTTGTTAGTCACTCGCACTGTGTTTGTTGCTGTGTATGATATAGCTCTTCTTCGTCGCTGCTTATAATGTAAAGAAGATGAATAAAAAGAAATTCAGAAGAGCGTCAGTAAGAGCGCACACGCTCTGTAAAGAGCGTCGCCGGTATACTCGGGATCCAGAAATACGAAGGTATAGAATTATTTTCTTTTTTATTATATATTATCTTTTAATATTTCGTTCGAAAGTAAATTACACCATGTAATCATTTTAATATTGAAATAATCAGCAGTCTATGTATTTCGGATGGATATCCATCCGAGATATTTTAGAATATCTGGATATTCAACGCAACTGCACAGCGCCAGAGCTGTGTGCGTCGCAAATAGAATCTACGGTATGTCGCGATGTATATGTGTATCAAGTGCCGCACGTACACAGTCACACTGTGTCTGTATTTTACGTGTAGCGACATACCGTAGATTATATGTGCGACGCACACAGCTCTGGTTCTGTGCAGTTGCGTTAAATATCCAGATATTCTAAAATATCTCGGATGAATATCCATCCGAAATACATAGACTGAT